CTTGGAGCTGCAGAGGTGTGAAAACAACCACACACGCCGGCTCCAAGATGAACTGAACCCGATCCAAAGGAAGCAGGCACATCTGCGTACACAAGCTGCAGCTCCAAACGGGGCTGCGGTGTCGCCTGCTAAACCTGGAAAGAAAAGTAGTTAGAAGAGCACTGGCATTTTGGGAGCACCTCTTCGTGCGATGCATGCCTCGTGTTTGGGCTGTACTGTGCCTAATATGGTGCAAGCTCTGACCGATGCTTTTTCCATGGTGAAAGCGTTGCTAATGCCTGTCTCCTCTCTGGATTATCTTGTGTTTAATCATTCAGTTCAGCTCACGCTGCGGCCTTTGCATCGGTGGGATCACTAAACTGAGTCTTTTTTTTTTCCTGCTACCATGTCTCTGCTTCTCTTGAATCATTTCCTCTCACTATGATAAATTTGATGGCACTTGGCCCCCAGGGTCTCAGACCGTTGCACAATTTCACGTTGGTCACTTCTCTGCACAGTGACCCCGTGCAGGACCACGGGACTGGCACTAAGATGGGTCTGTTACTCATAGCGACAGTGGGACTCTTGGCCAAGCTGTGTCTTCATAGAGTATCAAAGCCTCATGCTCTAGAGGACCAGTCAGTGTGATTACGTTACTGTTGTCTTGGTCAAGCAAGCCATCGCTGCTTAGGATATAATTTCCAGAGTAGCCTCAATGTAACTAGAATACCTCAAATGCTTTCTTGTCATTGGGCCTATTTGAGCCCCATTGTGGTGTGGGCGGCAGTTCCTTTCCAAGGTGCCATCTTCACAGATGAGCTGTGCCTGGTGAGGGAAGGGTGGGTGTGCAAAGGGAGGGGTAGCTTTCAGTACTTACCCCTGCATGGAGAGGATTTTATGCATTGGTAAATGTCTTCCTCCCAGTTTTGTCAGCTCCCTGGATTGCGAAGAACAAGGGATGTTTCCTCCTATGCCATCCAGGCAGAAGTACCAGGGACTTTCTTACTATGAAGACTTCTTACCACCTTTTGAGTCAGTGCGGCTCAGTAAGAGCTAGGGTGGCATGAATTAGGGTGACATTAATTGTGCGCTTGTAAATTACCACTTGTGCCCATCACACTTTGTGGTTGGAAGGGGCTCGTCAGAGTATTTCCATTTGAAGGTTTGTATTTTCTGTTTGAAGGACACATTTTGTCCTCTGTGGCTTTTGGCTTTTGTAGGAGGACCTACCTCCCTGCATGAAATGGTTCTCTCTGAAAGGATTTGATGACGAGGTTTCTTTTGCTTTGTTTGTTGTGTGTTTCCCCTGCCTCCCACAGCACCACAGACGTTAGCTGAGATCCTGGGGGTGCGTTCAGCTTGACAGGTTCTGGGTGGGGGAACTTCACAGAGGTCTTCTGGGAAGACGGATCCATTGAAAGGTAGAGAAAAGATGGATATCTGAGCCCCATGGACCACTCCTGACTCACTGAGGTTATTTAAGGAAGGAAAAAATGTTTTGAAAGTAGCAATACTAGTGGAGCTTAGGTCCCTGTGGAACAGGATCCTTTGTCCTGTCCACCTTCCCATCCCACCGGTTGGCCAGACAGCTGCAGATGGGCTCTAAAAGCAGAGTTCTTCCAGCCTGTCTGTAGGAGAGGTTCAGTTAGATCTTTGCCTGTAGCCAACAAGCGAAAATGTGAATTAGTGATTGAAAATCAGTGCTTCAATTCACAGGTGCTGAGACTGATACACCAGAGAAGCACCAGCATTTCTTAAGATAGATGCTCAGGTTGGGCACCCATGCATTACACTGCCAGCTATTCTCATTTACCTAGCGGATTTTCCTTTGTTTGAATATTCTTGTTTAACATTTTGCTTGGTCCTCGAAGGCTTTTGCAGATATCGTGATGATTTCGATTCACTTCGTTACTACTAAAAATTAATATTTGCATTGTAATGACTTGAACTGTAGTACTGAGAAGGCCGATTGCGCTCTGTAGGCATAGAAGAAAGTGCAAATCCCTGTTCCTGAAACTTCCACTGCAGTCTGTTCTTTCTCAGAGGTTTTCAGAGTCCCTTTATCTCACTGCAAAAGAAGAGTAAAATAAAGCAAAACACCAGATATTAGATTTGTTTGGGGAGGATGGCTCTGAAACCACTCAGGAACTGGGAGTAGCTTGTTTTTTCAGCTGAGTCTGTTTAGTCTGAAAACAAAGGTCACCTTGGCGCTTTTGGACTTTGGAAGCCTGTAATCCAGATTTGAATGTGGAGAGGGAGCCCATCTTATTTGGGTGTCAAAAAGTTGTGAGGTGCAAGTCTTTTAAAAAGGACAAGAGATTTTTTTTTGAGAGACATTAGAAGAGGGACAGACTGACAGACAGCAAGATCTGTGAATCGGGCACCGTTAAGACATCTCAAATCGGACATCTGGAAACGGAGGCCCCCGAAATCTGTTGTCAACTTTGAAAATCCTATTCCCGCTCCCCCTCCTGCCAGCTTTGAAAGTTCGAACCGTGTTCTTTTTATCACATTTGTCATTCCTTAGTAATGAAGCTCTGGCATTCAAAATTTGGCTGACAACTTTGTGGGTATGAGCCAAAATGAAGTTCAACTTGCACCTTTCCCTGATGCACCCAGTGCTGTTCGCAGCGAGAGGCAGAAGTCTGAACTAGAGGGACTCCAGACTCATTCATTACGGCAATTACTATCTTCTCGCTGATGCCAAAATTAAGCTTGTTTTCTTTATGCTAATGTAGGTGGACAGGAACTGATGAAGTGTACGCAACAGGAATGTTGAGAGAGAAAGTGCCATGTATAAACCATTTCTTCTCAGGCTATTCCTTCATCTTTAATAATGTAAAGGTCATAAATCTCCTGGAAATCATGTAAAATCAGTGCTGCAAAAGACTTAGAGCAGTGCCAGGCTAGCTTAGGTTTTATTTTATAGAGGCTCAAGTCCAGCACTTTAAAGTTTGCTAATTTTAAATACATTTAAATGCACTTCCAAAGTAATTTAGATCTATAAACTGAATGTATAGTTCAAGTGACATTGGGAGAACTGACTTTTAGGGAAGGAGCACAACTCAGAAATGAGGTCTGATGTACGGTCTGCTGGGCATGGCTTCCGTCTTTATCTGTGGCCAACTGTATGGATTGCATAAGGTATTTAGGGTATAAACTGAGTATGGGCCAGAGTCCAAGTGTGCCAAGCACCCACGCGGGAAGCAAGCCCAACCAGGAGCATGTTTTGTGGCAAGTCATGTAGCTGTCCTTGGGCAAACCCGGTGCTCCCTCTTTGCATTTCTTTAATTCAGTGTTTGGCAGCAGATGGCTTGAGGCTGCATTTTGAGAAGGCTCAGGTTTGGTCTCCTTGTCCGGAGGTAACGGTGGCAATATTTGTGCTCACATTGCTGTTCGCATTTGCGGCCTGAAGTCCTCCTGCTCTAACCACTGAGATTGTACCTTCTCAGAGGTCCCACAGCTCAGGTTCTGCATCGTCAAGGCATTGCGGTAGCTGACACCCATCTCTGGGAAGGGCTGAGAAGTCACAGTCACCAAGCTTTTAAAACGTTCTGAAATCCCACCCTGCTTTGTGTGAAAACGCAAAGTGCTTCAGACTAGATTGCTCTTGGTTGACTAACGTGGTATTTCCCTAAAGTGCGGAGCAAAGGACTCCGCTTCCTTTGAGCAAAACATGAGGGCTGCTATCACTTAATCATTTTGGACCTCCGCTGGTTAATTACAGCCCTTCCTGGCCTCCCCTATGGGGTAATGGTCTTTAAACCATGTATCCAGTTGTTTGTTCAGAGTAAGTGTTTTAATTTTCAAATGCTTGTGCTTTTTCCCTTCTATAGGTGTTGCTGTGTTAGCAACATAACTATTACTGTTGGTTGTCCAACATACAAGTTAGACAGAGAAAAATGTTTCTGATGTAATTTAATTCCCATTTACAGGCAGATGGAATTAAAGTCTGGTTTCTGATTGCAGATGCACAACGTGCTTGAAGAGGCATCTGAATCTCTGAAGCTGAGATTTGCTGAATTGCCTTTTGGTGCCCAACTTTTACTGATTTCAACAAGAATTGAACGAGAATTTGAATCCCAGAGGCAACACTTACACATTTCAGTTCAAATCTTACGAAACTATGTGGATACGGATCCCTAAAGTAGCACAGGCTTACAGCGTGTAGCTCAGAAATTATTCAAACTTTTTTTTGAAATTAAATAGACGTTCCTGATAAGTTCGTTAAATCTTTCTTCTTGCAAGTATATTTGCTCGGCAGCTGGCATACGATGTTCTCAGGGTTGATTTTCTGCTTTGTGGGGGAAAGCACCTGGAGTTTTTGTTGTCCTGTCGAGGAACTAAAAGTTTGCACAGCTTTTTTTTCTCTGAGGTCATTAGTGAACATACAAAGAAACTTTATAAATCGTATCTGAGCCTACATGGTAAGCAGGAAACGAATGGTTACACAAGCGGTGGCCGGTTTTGAGTGGGAGAGATGGAGATGATAAGCCATGCCTTGCAGATTGGTGTCAATGGCTACAGTGGAGCAACACCTTCCCTTATTTTGGGATGTAACCATGTGCGTGAGTTGCCCGAGGAACTGGACAACAAACCAGGTTTCCTCCTGGTCGGGATTGCAATTGTATCCGAAACTTTAGAACTGGTATTTTTTAGCGATAGGACAAGAGGAAATGGCCTCAAGTTGTGCCAGGGGAGGTTTAGATTGGACATGAGGAAAAATTTCTTTACTGAAAGAGTGGTTAAACATTGGAACAGGCTGCCCAGGGAAGTGGTGGAGTCCCCATCCCTGGAGGTATTTAAAAGACGTGTAGATGAGGCGCTTAGGGACATGGTTTAGTGGGTGGTGGTGTTGGGTCGATGGTTGGACTCGATCTTAGAGGTCTTTTCCAACCTCAATGATTCTATGATTCTATGATTCTATGGTAAACCCCGAGGAGATGTTTCTAAAATACATGTGGCAAGTCCATCGCAGTCTGCTGTGCTAAGCGTTTCTTTTCTTTCCTCCCCCTGCCCAGCAATCAAAGATAAATACATGGACTGGACGGAGTTTCTCATACACGATTTGACTGGCGCCCGGACTGCACCCGCAAATTTACTGGAAGGCGTATGTATTAGATTGCAGTTTCTATCCGATCCGGTGTCGCGGTGTGCATGCTGCAGCAGTGTTTGCGCTCCCGACGCGTAGGGCTGTGTGCTTGCAGCGTCTGTGTGCTGGCAGCGGGGTCTGATCCAGCACTGGCCGAAAGTCGGTGGCAACGTTGCCTTGACTCCGCTGGCTCTGCGTCTGACCCAGTGATGGGTAGTTTGGTTTGCCTTTAGGCTGGAGGGTGGTATTTAGAAAGCTGGGTACTCAAAAAAGGCTGGGTGGTGCAGGAGAGCATGGAGGGAGTCCGTAGGAAGGGAGGACGCAGCCATTCAGTGCCCCGTTAGATCCACCAAACTGATAACCTGAGCTTTCAGGTCAGGACACAGGTTGGAGAGGGGGTTTAGCAGGTTGACGGGGAGCACTGTCAGATTTATGTATATATGGAAATAGCTCCCCCAAGGACATTCCCTCCACCTAAACACAGCAGTCAGATTTAGCAGGGAAGTTGGGTGAGGTGGCCTCAGTCGTTGGTAGTCAGGAGAGAAGAAGGGTCTGTTTTTTTCAGATGCACCCATATGGCCAAGAGCCCAGTCTGTGCAGCATATTCACAGGGTGGCTTACACCTGGAGCAGCCTCAGCTTGCCTTGAGATCTTGGACAAAAATCCCGCAGATTCACCTTGAAACTGTGGGAGCAGGGCACCTTCTCCATTGGGACGTGCCCTGCTCTCCTGTGGATGCTGTGTGGACGTTTGGAGAGGAGACGGCCCGTCCTGCAGGAGATAATTCTCTCTGCCCCTCTGTATTTAGGCTGGGAATAAAGGCATACAGGCGGTTTACCTTTGTGTAAGCGCTCCTGTTGGCTTTTTGGAAGCAAGCGTGCATCCAGGCACCATTTTTGATCGTCTTGTCCCTGGTCACTCCCACCTGCCACAGCTGCATCCTTTTTCCACGTGCCTGCGCAGTACGAGCTGCCTGGCAGGGAGAATTAATAGCGTACCATCAGGGATTTCCCCCCCCCCAGGTCTGTTAGCCGAACAGGCCTTGCACGCCCCAAAATGATGCGCATCCTCAGGCCTGCTGCATCCCTGTTCCTGGACCACTCCCAGGTGGCACATGCAAAAAAGCCGGTGGTGTCCAACACCCATCTGCGGCGTACGGCAATGCCGTCGCGAACCTCTCCGTTCCCTTTCCGCAGGCAGAGAAAAGAGGCAGCCCCGGGCAGAAATGCAGAGAGGGAAAACAGTGCATTGGCTTGAAACAGTTGCTGACCCTTTTCTGGTGTTTTATGCAATATATGTGCTTAGTGCTGTCCGTGTCGTGCAATGTATGTAACCTCCTGTCAACAGATTTGCTGTTCTTGAGTGCTGCAGATTGTTGTTACGCTGTTAAATCAATATGTAGTGATACTTTTTTTTTTTTACATGCTAGCTATGCATATAAAGAGTTCTTACATTATGGTAAATGTTAATATTTCATGCAAGCCAATTATTAATCTTAGCCATTCAGTTCTCAGGGGTAAGTGAGAATCCATTGGCTTAAAATCTAGCACACAAATCAGAGAAGCAATATTCGCTTTTATACAGCCAGGGATTTATTATAAGTTAAATCATTACACCATTGTTTCATATTAAAGAATGTTTTGTTGCAATGAAGCAGTTGTATGAGAGGAAGAAAACCATTAAAGTAGATTTCTATTATATTATTAAATTCTGACACTGCATTTTGCCATGAAATAATATTTGAAGAGATTATACAGGTGCTTGTAGCTTATACAATAGAGGAGTGGCTTATCATGGCAAACACATTGTTCTAAGAAATATCTGTTAATCATTGAGCTGGTTAAAACTGTACATGTGATAAGGTTATAGTTAATTTTAATTACATATTTTACCAAATTCTCATTCTGTTGCCTGCATTTCTGGCTTAAGAGAGATGTAGTCAATATAGGTTGCATTTCAAAATTTTGAATATTTTCAAAATTCAATATGAAAGAAAACTTTTTTGAACAAAATTCAATATGAAAGAGAACTTTTTTGAAAAATAAGGCTTTTTCCTCTTTTTTTTTTTGGTAGCCACCCCTAGGAAAGAACCACCTGGACTTACTCTGATTTACAGAAATAATATTTTAAAAAATACCTTGAAAGGTTTATTTTGTTTAATTAAGTAGAAGTGGGACAAACACATAGGGGGGGAAAAAAAATTCCTTGTTTGAAATATATTTTGCTTGTGCTTAACATCTCCTTTGGGGACCAATACTCCCAGCTCTTGGGCTGTTTTTTAGTGCTGCTTTTAAAGCCCTGGAATCAAGAAATTGCATAAGAATTGGAACTTGCACTTAAAAAAAAAAAAAGAAGAAATCTAACTGTTACGTTAGTGGAGAAAAGCTTGACAACACAGCGATGCTCACAATCACAAAACAAAAACACTGAGCCCCTAAGGTATCGTTCTGCAAAGCATCTCATGGTTTTTTAATGCCTGCGGTTGGCAGCTTTGCAGGTGTAAAGTTAAGCACATGTGTAAATGGTTGCAGAACTGGGATCACAGAAAATACTGTATGTAAGCAAATAACCTCATTTACTGTGGTTTCTTGGGCGTGGTGGCTTGATCCAGCAAATCCTGTGTGCCTTGAGCTTTGATCCCAAGGCCACTGAAGCCGATGGGAGCCTGCCATTGGCTTTGGGGTAACCACCATAGACTCTTGCATCCATGGCAGTGGGGAATAATTTGCTCTACATGCCAGTAGGAGTGAGATAAGACTTTTGGTGGGAAGGATCAGTGCACGGAGGGCAATTTTAGGGTCATGCGCAAAATAGTTGCCTTTTAGGTAAATGCCAGTGTCCAGTCCTGTGATTGGTTCTTATTGGCTGCAATCAATGAGAATTTGGTTTGAAATCCTCCAATATAACTGGGCTTGAGTTGTTCAGGAGCATCCTAAGTGGATGTGCCTTATGAGCTGTTCCACCTTTTATTATTCTTTTTTTGTTGTTGTTGATGATGTCGGTTGAGAAATTAGCACAACTGTTGTTTTCTGTTTTACTTCTGAATTTGCACTTGGAAGACATTGGGTAAAATAGAAGAAGAACAGACTGTTTGCTGATCGCTTGGATGATGGTGTGAAAAACAAAAATAATCTTCTGCTGTCATCTGTTTCCTTGAGAAGTCTTCAAATAAAGTTTAAAATAAGGAGTTTTGCTTCTATTCAAACAGCCTCTGCGAGGAAAAAACCCTGTAGACCTCATTACAGTTGATTCCTTAATAGAGCTGCAGGATTCCCAGAATCCCTTTCAGTACTGGATAGTTAGTGTGGTTGAAAATGTTGGAGGAAGATTACGCCTTCGCTATGTGGGATTGGAGGAGACTGAATCCTATGACCAGTGGTTGTTTTACTTGGATTGCAGACTTCGACCAGTCGGTTGGTGTCAAGAGAATAAATACAGAATGGACCCACCTGCAGGTAAAGAGCCTCCTAAAAATACTGTCTCCCTTTGTGGCGTTTACTGATGTTTTGAGATGCTCATGCAACCCATTTCGTCTTATCCAGCATTCACATTGCTTTTACAGTGGTTTCTACCTGTAACACAGGTGGCATGTGAAAGCCATCTAATTTGGGTTCAAAGTGGGTCAGGTAAACTGCATTAAATTTATTTAATAAATTCAGTTTAGCTTAGCTCACTCCTGGAAGGAAGCAGTGTCCAATAAAAGCAGCTTCGTGCATTGTTCCACCAAAAGGCAGAGCTGATGGGGACGGTCCAAGGATGTGCCTGCTTGCCCAGCCCTTTTCAGTGGCGTTTTAGTGGCCAGGTCTTCCTGGCCATACTGTAGGCATCCTGGTGGAGACCTCACTGGGAGCCAGTCTTCTGCTGTCCAAATCAAGTCCTAGGTGACACCTCTCAGCATATACTAGGCTCCATTTGCTGTCCCCTCAACCAAACACCTCTTGCCCGTTTGTCTTTCCGTGGCCACACACATTTCTCTTGGGTAGCAGTAGACCTCCATGAAATTTCCCAGGGCTGGAGAAAGTCTTTTGGGACCCTCATGGTCCCTCTAACACAGGTCTTTCATATTCTGCTGTAACATTGCTGTACATCTGCCAAGTGAGACCTGCCTTGTGTGTAACCAGTCAGAAAGTGCATTAGGGGTGCTGGGTTTGTCTGCCTGTCCATGTCAACCTGCCCATCAAGGGGTTATGGGATGTCTGTTGCTAGAAGCTAAGAAAATACTCCTTTGAGTAAGGATAGGTGGGTCTTTCAGATTTAAAAGACCACAGTTTTTGTCCTGCATTTTCTCCAAGGGAGTGAAGTCCTTGCAAGTATGTCAGACCAGACTCAACATCAGGAGACTGCGACTTAGAGAAGAAGCTCTCTAGAGTTGAGTGTAGTGTTCAAACCGGCTTGGAAGGAGGGAGATAGGGACTGCAGTTAGGCCAATCTGAGGTCAGAAACTGGAAGTCACAAATCCAGGGGCAGGAGAAGTACAAGGAACAGGAGCCAGGCAGAAGAGTCAGGCATGAGCAGGCTGGGCCAGGAGGTTGGGCAAGAGTAGAGTTTAGGGGTCAGCTGGAATCAGACTCCAAACAGTGGGACTGGGTTTGGCAAAAGGAGCAGGATCAAACCAGCAGGGCAAGAAGGAGTGCAAGGCTGAGTGTAGGGGAAAACAGGATTACTAAGGTATAGCAAGCAGGATATGGGCTGGGGACCACAGTACACAGCAGGGGCTCAGGGCTACTTGAAGCCCGCTGGAGAAATGCTTGCAGAGGCATTCACTGGCAGGTTCTGGGGCTGGCTTTGGAGATGTCCAGCCAGGCTATACTCCATTACAGTGGGGGATGACTGGGAGGGTGAATTTTCTCCACCACAGCAATAATACTGGTCAAAACTTTGTGAAAGTTTCTGGGCAGTTGGGTTTCTCTCTACTCAGGACATTTGGCTCTGCGTTGGTCTGACTTGAGTTGGCCAAGTTGGTTGAGTCAAGTTGGTTGACTTGTCTTGGAGTTAGGGATCTGGTTAAACATGACAGCTTAGACTGTTGCGTGCATGGTCTGCTTTGGGGCAGAAAGTGTGCAGCATCTGTATTTTTCGTAAATACTTGGGGCCACAAAGCTGTTTGCCAAGTCCTGTGGAGCATGGCCCATATTTGCGAGCTGTTTACACCTCCAAGTTGGATGCCTGAGGACTGCTGTTTCCTTTGAGAAGTGCGGTGCTTTCTTGGTTAATACATAGGTTTTGGCCCAGCAGACCTATTCCGCCTTTTCCTGTGTAGGTGGATGACTTACACAGGTCCATGCCTCATTTTCCTTGTGCTGTGGGTGAAGTTTTTCCGTGAGTGTCAAATGATAGCAGAAAGGTAGCCCTCCTTTGGGTAGGTATTTCTGATGTGGCTTCTGTCCATCACACCTGATTCGGAGAGGTTACCCCGATACATGCAATTGTCATGTTCACAAGTCTGTCTGAGTCTTGGGTCTAACTTGGGGTCTCGAATGCTTTTTGGAAGCGTGTGTTTTTCTTCACTGATAGGTAGGAATCAATGTTCCCCATCACTTTAAATTAGATGCGAATGCTGGAGAGCATGAATATCACTCTGTTATTTTACACAGTATTTGTGTTAGAGAGAAACACTTTTTCATTGGCTGTCTTTGAACCCTCTTGGCCTGTATAGGTTTGGTGAATCAATACAGAAATGGCCCAAACGAGATTTGTGCTTCCTCTTTGTTTATTCCATTCTTTTTCTATTCTTTCCTCCTTTTATCCAGTTGTGCTTTTCCTTCTCTATGGATTCCTCCCCATCTCTTTTTTCCTTTTCATTTTTTAAGTTGTCTTGTCTCTAAACTTGTTGTTGGATTCTTTATTTGCTGAAGTTGTTTCTTCTCCCCTCTCCTTGATTTAAATGCTTTTAAAATTTCTTTCTCTTGTTCTCATCTGTCTTCATCTGATACCTCTTTCGTCTCCTTGGCATTTCTCTGGTCATTCACTTTTTGGTGAATGTTGTTATTAATGAATTCAATGCCCGAGATCTTCTTCCTGACTTCCATTGACTTAAATAGGTGGTCATTACTTTACATCTCCTAAAGTTGTGTCTCACAGGAGTTTGCTGAGAAAAGACCCTTTGGGTCTGAACTCTTCCATTTTCTCACAAGTCCTCTCCTGAACATGCCCCCAGGGATCTTTCTTTCATCCCCCCCTTCTGGTCTACCCAGTTGTCAGGCTCTGCACTGCAGGAGGTAGCCAGTCAGAAATGGGAATCTTGAGTTGTTTCTGGAGGCAGGAATGCTGGTTGTTCCACTTCTGACATAGTGGACTATATCAGCCATTTGATGTCCACCTAACATCAACGCGTTCATAAAGCACAATGGATGAATAAAGCGTACGAGACAGTTGTGGTGTCACATTAACCCAGAGGAAGAAGAGGGAAAAAGCCAAGTGGCTGGTCTTAGGGAATCTCTTTCAAATTAAAGAGTCTGCAAAAGAAATCTGGGAGCAAGCAGGCAGGCAAGCAGTATTGAGTTGTCAGGGTGAGATGATGGCAGCAGAGAGCTCTAAAGAAACTCAGGGATGAAGCTACTAAACCACAAACTGTCAAAGGATGCAATTTCCTAAGGACCTCAGGGCAGGAGAGTGTGCCAGGGACACATCCCTGCCTGCTTACATCCTTCCTAGTGACTTCTGTAGTAAATAGGATTTGGACTAGGAAGACCTTTGTTGTGTGAAAGACCTAGGACGGACCTTCTTAGGAAAGAGAGACGGTCTGTGGGCAGTATGTTGGCTTTTTACACATCAGGGATTAAATTCACCTGCCGTAGCATAGGCATCAAAAAGACAGTTCAGCATGAGCTATTGCTTTCTCTTTATGATCAGTGGAGAAAAGGGGATGCCTAAGACATGTCTAACATAGGTCAGATGAAATGACATCTTCATAAGCCTATTTTTTTCCACTCAGGGTGGTTGAAAGCAACGAACGCAGACCTGGTTGTCTAACTTGAACATTTGAAGCCAGTTGTGGTGACTCCTTGATTGATAACAGGATCAGTCTTAGACTGTATATCAAAACTGTTCTGAATCTCCTCCGAAGAGATGTTGAGGACACGCAGCTCCTCCCAAATCAGGCTGCATGTTCAATTGCTATCAAATGAGGATGTTCAGTTATACATCGGTTCTGCAGGTTGTGAGTGCTTTGCCTACCCTTGACTTGGATGCTGCATATGCATCTTCAGCCTTTTTTCCCTTTTTGTCTGGGCGGTGATTTTCCTGTGTTGATCCACCTCTGGGACCTGCCAAGTTGGGTTTCGCCTTGCACAGCAGTTTGAGGTCAGTTGTTCAAGATGCAGAGCATCTCATATAAAGGAGATCCCATGGATCCAAACATCTACAGTATTTTGGGTCTCTTTTCTGAAGCCGTCCACATCCTAGCGCCCGCTTGATGTACAAGAATGTGCAAGAGGGTCCTTAGGAAATAGTACCCTGGCTGTCTTCTCCAAATGGCAACTTTCAGGGGCTTTGTGTGTCTCGTGAGCCCTTTTAACTGAGGCAAAGGGGTCATAGCGTGTTTTCCCCTCAGCTGTATATCTGAATCCAAAATAAACCTCTTTGCTAGTGCAAATTGGCACAGGCTGCTTGACACAGAGCCGCCGATGGTCTTGCCTCGACTGCTTATGCAGGAGGAGATCGTCTCATTTTATGTTACTTTCTATTTAAAGACAAATTGGCAGTCATTTTAATTACTCATTCCTTGTTAACCTAAATACAAATTGACACAGTACACTTTGTTCAATTACCTGCAACCCTATCACTTACACAAAATGCTTTATGCTCTTTCAACTGTGCGATTTAGTGTCCATATACTTGCCAGCATAAGCTAACTGCCACTAATTAAATGTGCATATGATACTACTTGCTGGTTATTGAAACCATTGGAGTTGTCTTTATCTCTCAAAGTTTGTTGACACTGCCCAAAAAAGTTGCTGCTTGTTTTCACTGATTTTGGGCAAAGTTGCCCAAAATGCCACTTCCTTCTTCTTTCCTATGCTTCACTGCCATCACGGTAGAAAACGAGGGTCTGTTTTCAGCTTGCTGTCTGGTGAGCAGGGGAGCATCCGGCAGGGTTTTCCAAAACTCAGACTTCTGGTAGTTGAAACAACAGGCTGGCTGCAGCTTGGGGCAAAATCATGTTGTATTGAATATTTCCCTGTTTGGCGTCATTTAAGCCAAAAAGGAAGAAACAAGGTGAGTCGTTTCCCTCCTGCCCTTCAAGCTGATCAGAGCTTCTGCCAAGTAAGGGAGAACTGGAGCAACGGGGCTATGAAATAATGAACAATTAGATAAAGAATGCACTTTTTAATTCTTGTGACTGCTGCACGTGCTGTAAACAACGACTTGAAATGTATATTCCCATTAATAAACAGACAGTTGAGGAATTCAAAATACAGCCCTGAAAGGTTAACATTTCCCTTTAAGTGTGTTTAAATTCATATGCATATCCTTGATGTCTGTTCTGAAGTAGCGAGGTTTGATATAGTGGAAGTATAAATACATCCACTTCCAGTGAGTGATTCTGCAAATCCTATTTTGATAAGGTCTTAAATCTGTTGAGATCAGAGCATAAAATTCTCTTGTACCGTCAGTGCTAGGTGAAAACAGTGCTTGCCAATTTCTTTTTTTATATATATTTTTTATTTGCTCCTTCAGAATTGTAAGATACAGCAGTAAATCTTTGCTAGCTAGTAAATATATATGGTTATTAGATGTACAGAATTTAAATGCAAATTGGGCCAAATTGAACTGTGATGTAAGTGTGTGTGTGAAGCCAAACTGACAAAAGAAGAGCTTCATACTGTTCACTCTGTGTCAAGGTTCAAGTTTATTATTGAGTAAATGGTCATATCCCTTTTAATGATTGCTGCAATCTATCTACCTGTCTTGTCTCTTTAAGACCTTGATGTGAATGTTCTGCAAGAAGTTGTTATGTGCAGGATAACAATATGTTTTCTAGGGCAGAAGTAAATCCAATATAATGTTCTTCATCATAGTATTGTTTCCTACATTGTTTCCTTTGGTGATTCATAGGCATTTCACTGCACTGAACCATAAAGGGCTTGTTAATATAATGATTTAATAATATTAAACCTATTTAAAGAAACTCTATGAAAGCAATGTGAATCTGACAAAGATGTTGCCTAAAAGTATAATGGTGAAAATTTGTAAGTGTGAGTCTTTGAATTGGTGCGGTAATCTGGTTTGAGTGTGGTACCATCAAATGAGTCTAGGTAGAGATCGAGCTGAAATGTTCCTTCCCACACCTACCCCCACCCACCGCAAAAAAACCTCAACCATGCAATAAAAAAATAAATAATAAAAAGACTTTCCAATGAACAGAAGCCTTGGTAAAGATATTTCTGCCTTTGTTCAAATGTAACTAATATTGGCTGAAGACCTGAGGCTCCTCAAACTGGAAAACTAGGTATTTTGAGAATTGAAAATCAAAGGAGAGTTTTTGTTATTTTCAAGTAATGAGATAGTACGATTCTTGTTTCTTCAGCAGAAAATGAAGGACGTGTATTTTTCTGGGTTTTACTCCAGGATATAAAACACAATCTTCCTCAAATGTGCCCCTGCTAGTTGCTTTTGTGTTGAATTTATCCACGCGGTACAGCTTGGAATATACACACTGTTCTTTTCACTTGTACTATCCATTTTTATGACATAGGTATTTAAGTCTTTCAAAAATGTTTGATCCCCAAACAGTCACCTCTTGGTTTTGTTGTTTTTTCTGTCGTCATCGCTTTAGATATCTATTCTCTGAAGACTATATCTGAGTGGAAATGCGCTCTGGAAAAATCCCTTAATGATGCAGCAAATTTTCCTCTTCCAATGGAAGTGTTCAAGGTAAAAGATGCACGTTTTTCCTTCACTTACAGAACCCACGATGAATAAATATCATGCAGTGTTTAGTGGCTTATGTTATACTTTTGCAGGAAAGGCCGTTGCTCTAATACATCACCGTGAAAGGTCACAAGTGAGATGTTTGTATAAAATGCAGTTTTATGTGCGGACTTTCCATTCTGAGAACTAATTTCTTGTGGTCAGTGTTTTATAGGGGCTAGGGGTGATCAGCACTGATTTCTCCAACGTTATTTTTAATGTGTCTTATTCTGTCAGACCTGTGCAAAGGCGTCGTATACAACCGTGAAGATGCAGGGCTACGAATATGAAAGTTGCCATCAACTAGCCACCTTTCTGTGAGCCCTGCACCAAAATTTTCAGCTGATCATGAGCCACAAGGCAGAAAAACCTCCTTCAGGGACCTATAGTGGAAGTGGAAGATAATTTTGCTCCCACGTCTTCTTTTTTTTCCCCTCATTCTGTTTTTTAATAGAGATGTGCTTCAGCCCTGAGGCACCAGCTTTAATTTCCCGTCCAAATCTTCACTGCTGTTAATCATGACGGCTCCAGATAATCCTGATTTCTAGCTGTGCCCGTCTGGTTTCTAACAGTTACATCCTTGCTGCGGTGCGATGGGCAGTGTGGCCATGGGTGCGAGGGGATGCTCAGGGAGGTGTGTGCCCTGTCTCCGGTGTCACCTCCTGCTTGGGGACCTGGTGGACCATGGTGCCCTCCTCACCACCGTTCCTGGCTCATCCAGCCTGGAGACCCTCTGGGTTCTTTCCCTGCCCATAAGCAACATTGCACTGGGACACCCCAAAACACCTATGCAATTGGAAGAAGGCACCCACCATGCCCCATCCTGGCTGACATGCCACGAAACCCTGGTGCCACCTTCACCCTTTCTGCAGGGATGTGGCAGCAGCTTCCCATGAGGAATCCAGGCTCCTCGCCCAGCTGAGATGCACTTGGATTAGCAACATTAATTTGGGAAAGCTTTGCTAATGGCCCAGGCAGTGGCTCATTTGCTTGCAATGTGAAAGCTGTGCTAGGTTGGGAGAAGTGGGAAGATTTGTGCGTTGGCCTTCGGCACGAACATGGGTTTGAGAAGCCCCGTGTTGTTATGGAAGTGGCGTGCAGAGAGTTTTCATTCTTTGCCATTTATTTCATACAACGTTTCAATCCACCAACTCTATTAAAGTTTGCATTTGCCGTTTCAACATCAAAAATGCATTGTGTGGGGCAGTGATTAAATCACAATAGGGAATGCCTAATGTGTAAATTTTATTCCTGTCTATATGAAAGAGTGAAGAATGTTTTTGATGAGGCTCATAAAACACCCTTTTTTTTTTTTTTAAAGTTTATAACTAACAGCTGTTTTGCTGCCTCTTCTCAGCATGCCAGACTTATACCCGCTTATTTAATTATTGCATGAGGGTCATAAATTTAAATTCAGCAGATCCTAGTTGCCGTGCCATGCGGTTGGAGCTTGCAAAGATGTTCCTCTTGGAAGACAATGCAAAACAGTGGAATGCTTGAATGGTCCAAGAGGAGAGTTACTTTGGGGCCAAATGTGACAAAAAGGCAGGATTAGGTCAATAAGGCTTCTTTATTTGTAATGTGAAAGCTGAGCACAAGGTGAGCTGAATTCAGTGTCCGGTGTTATCTAAGCCCCTGGTTCTGGTGCTGGGAAGGCAAGAGGCTGAATAAATTGTGTGTGGGCATCACTTTATTCTACCCATTTAGGGTGAAAAAAACCCATCTTGTGCCTCTTAATTAAGGAGAGAAATATGAGAACTTGTCCGTGCCTGTGAGCATGTCTTCCTCTAGTAATGACTTAAACATGAGTTAAGGAGAGGCTTTAGGAGACTATGGAGAGTACACTTGTCTGATCTTACAAGATAAGCCAATATTTATGTGTGGGACCTTCAAGGAGAATCCCAGATCCCAGCAAAAAGTGTTGAATCCAAGGATGTCTTTTTTTATTTTTTTTTTAAATTTTTTTTTAAATTTTTTTGCAAACCCGGCACGGAAATAATGTCTCTACATGGTGCCTGGGGCTCCGTGCTACTGTAACTGTCATGTGTTAGATGAGATATAAAACACAGGGTTTGACAGCTGGCAACTGTTAAAGATCTCCTGGAAAGCTGGAAGTGTTTACTTTGGCGGAAATGGTAAACTGCACACCGAGCAATTATATTCCACATTTTCCACGTTTCCCTACAGAAATCCATCACTGAGGAGGGCATAAGTGTGTGCTCGCTCTACAGACGTGAGCGGTCCCTAGGGTGAGCGTGTGCACATTTGGCTGGATTACGACTCAAATGATTGTTGTCCTTGGAGCTGCGCACGACTGTGGGCAGTGTCAGTCATGCGCCATCAAACTGGTCCCAGGCGGTGGTGCTGGGAAAGCAGATGCGCATTTGTAGTGCGAGAAGTGGCTCCTCTTATGGGTCTGTCAGCCCGTTGTTGCTGTCGGTGGTTTTGGTGTCATAGGGTTGGGTTCTGCCTGAGACCTCATGAGCCATGGATTTGAGCCTGAATTATCAGCGCTCAGAAGTGTGGCAGAGCTGAACTTGCGTGTGGTGGTCTTCGGCAGCAGATCCAAAAATCCTTTGCAAAAGCGTAGCCCTGATCCCCTCTCGGCATCCAAAGAGAGGGCACCAGCCACCAGACCACATGAGCTGGTTGCAAAAATCAGGGGGAAGGCTGCAAACAGGATCTTCTTTTTTTTTTTTTTTCTTCCTGGTGCTATTTTACACTTGGCTGTATGTTGAAAGTGTTTGTAAAATGCTTTAGGATCCTTTGAGAAGGAACGTGACGTTCAACTGCCAAAAAATGCTGCTATTATATAGCTACTAAACATAATGTTTTGCAAACTGCGCATCCTGGAATAATTTTTTTCTTCACAAAAGCTTTTTGCAACATACCCGCTATTTTGTCATTCCGTTCTTACCAGAAAACATGTTGATCCTTAAAGAAAACTAAATACGTACAGGATTTTCAAGGGTGTTTGAATGGTTTAGGAGAACAAATCCTTCTGAAAGGCCACACCCCAAGGAGATGTGTCCTTTGCTGTTTCTGCTCTGATTTCAGGGTGCTGTAGAGATCCCCCATGCTTGGCTAGGTACCGGTCATAAACGATGGCTTAGGCTTCAGAGGACACCTGAGAAAATGGCCAGGGCTTTCGGTATGAATAAGGGTGGTCGAACTGTTAGTGGGGCCTGATTTCAAGTTAAGTGTGACAATATCAGTGGTTTGCTTCAGTGATGGCATTGCTGGTGCTCTCTAAGAGAGAGCCTTGTATCAGAAAGCCAGACTCCAAACACAGCACCTTCTAGCCCTAATATTTATGAATCAATGCATTTTTTAGAGTTAAAGCCCTGTAGCTTGGTTAAGATGAATGCTGGACATAGATTATGGGATTTAGTTTCCTAGAGAGAGGCAGATAGCATCCTGGGGATCTTCTCTGACATCACAGTATGCTCCCCCTGGTCTCCTGTGCTGTATCTGTGGGTCCCATGCGGATGTCATGGATCCTTGGGTGTCTTTCAGCTCACCCTAGACACTTCTCTTTGGGCAACTATATCCTACCCAGGACTTGGGGTGCTCATCATCTCTCCACAGATGTTGCATATGGGCATCCTATTCCCAATTCCCTCCGATTGCTATAAAGTGGGTCCTGATGACTGGCTTGGATAGAGGTATCACCAGCCGCATCCCTAACCCAAACTCTGTTAAACTGCTCGAAGAGCACAGAGGCTTAGGAGGGAGAGGTGTTAGCTAAGACAGGTGGCAGTTCCTAATTTATAGCCTTTGGTCCCCTTCCTCTTGTCTCCACCCTTCTGGTCCTCCTTTCCTAAAGCTGTCGTCGTTTTTTTCCAGCTCGAAATTGTTGTGTCTCTGGCAAAAAAAGCTCTACACTCTGCCCAGCCCAGTGTGCCCCTATTTCTAACTGGAGCTTTTGGATGTTTCCTTTAATCAGTAATAGTATTAATTAATGGTAAGACTAATGATGTGGAGGGAATGAGTTGGGACAAATCTCTCCTAAGGAGAGTGATGGAGGGACCACCCATCACCCAGGCAAGAGCTGCCCCCTGAAATTCAGGACAGAGTGGTGGTTCTAGTTCTAAACTCAAAAGTATGAAGACAAATATTAAACAGGACTCCTTCCCCCCTCTAAAATATAATTTTTCCATCAGATGAATTGTGCATTTTAATTATATGAGTAAGATGGACTATTTCTCCAAGACTTTGATTTTTATTTTTTTTTTTTTTTTAAAAAGGAGGACAACGTGTCTCAAAAGTTAATAAACCCTTTGGGTGTTTTAGAGTGTTTTCTTCCATTATTTGGTATTCTGGAGGAGTTTAAGTATAAGATAGAGAAACCCAAGGGTTACTTTCTGCTCAGAGACAATCCTGACCTGAGTGGATGAATAGACTTGAAGTCCAACAGGGTTTTTCTGTCTTCAGCCCCCCTAATAGATGGGCACGTGCTGATGCAGTAGTTTAAAACGGACGTGCTTTTGGTTTCACTTGGAAGCCAAATCCCAACATAAGCAATCCCCAGCCCCTTCATGCACTGATGGCTTGGCCGGCCCTCGTTGCGCACGCTGTGCTTTAATAACCCGTGAGTCGCCATGTTGTTTGCAGGCTGCCAGATTATTTATACTCCATCTGTTCTTTCCCATCCGTAGCACTCACCAGCCCTTCTCCCTGACTGCTGTTTGCCTGGCTGGGAGACGTCCACAGCATCCTGATCCCTCTATTGTTTGGCTGCCTTTTGACCCATTCCCATCTCAGCATGTTAAACCCATTTATCTTTGTAAGACCTAATAACCATCATTAGGAATATTCCGCTAAGGTCCTTGCAAACGTAGCTGCCTTTGCAGCTCTTGGGAGCAAGGATGTCTCCGATATCAAAGGTGCCACTCAGGTGAGATGGAGTCTGTTGGTCCCTCTGTGGACCAGGGAGAAGTTTTAACCTCTCTACAGCTCCCTCC